TATATATATATATATATATATATATATATATATATATATATATATATATATATACTGGAGAACTTTGATAAACCAAAACTACTTTCTAAAAGTCTGTATGGATTCAGATCACATAGATCCACAGCTTTGGTAGATCTGGAATGAATAGAAAGCAGCTCCATAGATGGTTTGGAATCAGTCTGTTTATTTCTCTAAAAAAAGCGTTTGACAGCTGATCAAATTATGTTAATCAGGAAAGTAGAGCATTGTTCACAAGTATTTAAGAGGATCCTGATACTTCCTTCCTAGAGATGGTTAATGAGGCATCTTTAAGCCAAACTATTGATACTGACTCTCAGAATACTGACCCCTGCTGGACATTTAAAGACACTACAGGCAGCTGAATGGACAGACTGAACTGAATTTGATGACGTAGAACAATGATATATAAATTACTGTAGGTTATATTCTATCATATCTGTGTTTAAATTGAAATATCTTTTATATTTTAGATACATCCAATAAATAATCTAAATATGTATCATAACGTGAACATTTAGAGGGAAATGAGAATGAGGATGCTGCTGGACCAGGATTTGAAACCATAATTTTAAAACAATAAGTACAATAAAAACAGTAAATAAGCTAAGAATCAATTTGAAATTAACTTTAATTCAGATAAGTTGAATGATAACTGAGAGGAAAAGGATGACACAACGAGAAAATAAAAAACGCAGCGGCTGAAGCGATCCTATTTCGTTAAGGCTCCAATCTTCTGGATCATTTTAATGATAAACCGCAAAAAATAGAAATTTTTCCAGCAGATGCATCATGTTGACAGAAATGTTTTTAAACACGGTTTAGTGAGTCAGTGAGTTAGAAACAGCTCCTGGATCGGTCACATGACTTCTTGGAAACGACACGGCACGCGCACCGTTACAGTGTTTGGCTCTATGGGCTCAAACATATAAGAAAAACTTAATGTTTGATAAAAGCTTGTTTAATTTTTCAATTGGATCCTCAGAAAGCAGAATGGATCCCAGCCCTGTTTTATTTTATTGCCTTAGAAATACAATATTTTCATGTACCCCTTGCAATGCACTCCATGCCCACTAGGGGTACGCGTACCCCAGGTTGGGAATCGCTGCTTTAAAGGACAAAGTGCTATTCCCTCAGCCGCTGTGCAAAATGTTCGCAACTCTTTCTGTCATGATTATTTATTCATTGTTTTGATGCTAAATATAATTATTTCCTTTCAAATATTCACCTAAGGATGTTATTAGAGCTGTGGGCAACCAGCAGGCCCCCCTCATAAGTGGACCCCACTGCTGGTGGTGGTAAGTCCATCTCTGTATTCAGGTTTAGATGTTTTTGTATAACAGTGAGTTTTGGGTAATGGCCGAAAGAACGAGATCCCGGATCCAAGCGGCTGAAATGAGTTTTCGCCGTAGTGCGTCTGGGTTCTCCCTTAGAGATAGGGGGAGGAGCTCAGTCATCCGGGGAGGACTCAGAGTAGAGCCGCTGCTCCTCCACATGGAGAGGAGCCAGTTGAGGAGGCTCAGGCATCTGGTTAGGATGCCTCCTGGACG